AATTACTATGCTCTCAGGAAATGAGAGATTTTGTCGCCTTTTCTCGTTCTTATTTTTTTTTTCTGAATCCGATTTTTTTTACACCTACATCTAAAAGAAATTGTAAAATTTGCCGCCATGGGCCGCGGGCCATGTGGCCACCCCCTGAATCCGGCCCTGGGTTGGGTACGTGCTCTATACTTAGATATACCTTACATCAATGTGAACGGCAGTAAAATGTACATCATGACATAAAAACTGACCAAAGAGCCTCACTCAGTTCATGTTGCACTTGGATGATAATAAAATCAGGACCTTGATAAAACAAGGATTTTAAGAGAGAGGGTTGAACATTTCTAAAAGCGGCAGCCTGGCAAAAATGATTTCAATAAAAAGGACATCTTTGTAAAGCTGTCTTTGCAAAATCAATGATTGTGTCGCAAAATTTTACCTGGGTAGGTTAGATCCACTTCTAGAACTCCACGCACCCTGAGCGCTACGATACAACAGGGAGATGTGGCAAAGAGAATGTCGCGGTTTCCAAGACACCCTTAAAAAGATCCTTAATATTGAACAATAAGTTAAAATGACCATAAGAGGGGGTGGATGGGCAGGGACCTTTACCGTTTTTGGATCTTAAATTCTTGCCAGAAAGGCAGGTAGTCATTGATTCATTCCTCAATATTGATAAAAATATAGGCTTGTCAAGTTGAATGATGAACTATTCGATTTTAATTTGAAAATTGGGGAAAATATTTGACTATTTCGAGAATTTTACGGATCACTCAGTGCTCGGTACCTACACTTGAAATCGCTACAGTAAAAGTTCGTTAAGTCGAATAAGACGATTAAGACGAAAATCCGCTCAAGTCGAAATTTTCTTCGGCCCCGCGACGTTGCGTGTGGAACAACGTTAAAAAAAACTACGCTTTAGACAAATTCGCGAATTTTTGAGCCAGGTGGAAAGCCGCTTTTGTCGAAATTTTTTTTTCGAAAAATCCGGATTTTTACAACGAGAAACACAAAAAATGCGCAATATAGACGGGAGAAATGTAGAAAAGAGATTCGTTGCTACGTACCTGTATACACGAAGGGAGTAGAGAAGTGACATCTATTGGTTGTTATGTCCGAAAATCGAATTTTTTTGATGCTTGGCGTTGACACTTGACACTACGGAACACTAACTTCACTCATTGCGTCATAGAAAACACTGATTTGACTAAATTTCATTGATTTGGCTTAAAACTTAAAATTAAAAAGAGTAAAAAGTTAAAAAAGAGTAAAAGTTAAAAAGCGATAAAAAGTTAAAAAGAAACAAAATCACTTAAAGAAATCGTTAATTTTTAATTGCTTGTGGTGATTTATCATTCTGGAAATGAGCAAAGATTCCAGATTTTGAACACTGGCTATTGCGCTGTTGGCTCCTTCGCACTGACAAAAGAAATTGCCGCTTAAGTCGGATTTTTGCAATTTTCACGCTGATTTCGAGGTAAGCGGAGAAACGAATAACTCGGATTGCCGCTTAAGTCGAATTTTTCATTGGTCCCCAGACAATTCGACTTAACGAACTTTAACTGTATTAGGTTAAAAAATAACGTTGAAACTATTGAAGGGTGCCTCATTGAACGGAAATTTTAATAATTCAATGGCAGCTTTGAATATAGATATGACAGGAGCTGGTATCAGACTTTCTACCTGAGTAGCACAAAGCAAGGAAAAATTTAAAATAATTTTGAAATTTAATGTTATGATATTTCAATTTCTTTAAAGATGAAATTGCAATATTTGTACATCATTTGGCCAATGTATGCCGATTTAAAACGATCGATAAAATGAGTTACATGAGAAAGACAGGTAAGCAGTTTACAATACAAAAAATAGATGCGACTTATTTCAATTTCATTGCAATAAACAATGAGAGAAGCCCCTTCAATCTGTGAATAAACAACGCACACAGCACTCCAGGACAATAGCAATACCATGTAATTGAAATTAATTGCAATCTATACTACTTGGGTATTTTCATTATCAAAAACTCCATAGCGAAATATAGCATTGAGTACTGTGTGATACAATTCAAGACAGGAAAGGTTCACAAAACAGTACTATCAGAGATACTTATCAATAATATTTTATTATTAAAAAATAAAATTGAATTAAATACCTAACAATAGATGAAAGGATGAAATTATCATAAAAAATGCACAAGATAAAATTAGATGAGAAGAAGAAAGATCCGGTTTAATGAGATCGAAAACATTCAGGAAGCACTGACCTGCTTACCAAAATAGGGGTACGGTCATTCATAATTTTGGCACAATTTTGATCGCCTTCAATTACTTGTTGGGTTCACAATACAAAAGATGAATCCACAGTAAAAGAGTTCCTCATCAAAGAAGTAATGGCAAACATTCCAATGCCATTCTAGCTTTATCCAAACTTTTCCTTGAAAGAAAAGTTTGAAAACTGTATTAGGTACACAATAAATAAGTACAAAATCAGAAAAAAATATCTGAGAACGTAAAGAAAATTCAGGATATTTTTGTAAATTTCATCTGACGAAGGGAACTTCCTCCATGGACTTGGGGGCTGCCAGAAAATAAGGGAAGTTTGGCTCTCACAACAGTCAAAACATGAATTTGTCCCTCTCATGAAAAGTCTATGTGGATGGAGGGGGAATATAATTTACAAGGGAAAGTTCCATGAGTTCTCATGAAGACTTGAAACAAAAATTAACACTGAGAAAATTCTAAATAATTTAGAAGTGGATCAGTACGTGTAATTTTTCAAGAGAGGACCTGACTACCCTCCTGATTTTGTCCCTTATTTTTAAGAGCGTCTCCTTTCCTTAAACTTTCCATGCAAAAATACTGTTGACAAATAAAATTTTAGAAATGAGTAATTGAGATCAAAATTTCATAAAAAGAACCTTAAGATGAGTTAACACGGGGATTGATTTATTAAGATTATTGAGGGAGAAATCCAGTTTCCTTCAGTCAATATTTCCTTAATCTTGCTAAACATTTGATTTCTTGATTTCATGGGGCTGGTATCTAAGTGGAACACTATAATATGTTCTACAAGTTGAATAAGATTTTGACTCACTTGAACGTATCACTACACTTGGAATATTTTCTTTCAGAATTTGCAAATAAAATTTATCACAGATTCTCTAGCTTCCAATCCAACAAAATGATTTAAAACTAAGGTGTGAAAAAAATTGAGTATTTTTCAATGGTTTATAATGAGATACCTCCCTGCAGTTATTCTTTGAGAATTATGTATAAATTTCTTGAATTTTCTTCACGCTTCAGCAGGAAAAAGAAGCTCCTTTTTTTATTCTCACAGAAATCCTACCTCTAGACAGTAAATCTAAAAATATACAGGCAGTCAAATGAAAAAGTGTGAAATTTAATTACTAGGATCTTTACAAAGTCTAGATACGGCGACTGTATTTTTGATCATTACAACGTACCAGAATTGCTTCTTACAACATCACACCCAGAGTGACAAATTTCTGTATGATTCAAAAACTTTCAACTTTTTGACGCTCTTGAGTAAAAGATTTTCTGATTTCTCGAAAATAGGACGTGAAGTCTCTAAATGATAGATAAAAAATTGCTGTCTTATTTTGGCTGAATCACAAGTTTCATTTCAAAGTTGAACAGCGAATTTCTGACACTTTCTTAACAATTTATGATACAATAAAATTTTCAGACTCATCAAGAACTTGACAGCCTGATACCAGTCGTAATGCCTGAAAACAATTGCGTAAAAGCCAAATATGAGTCTCTGCTTGACGTCACTAGATTTGGACGCTGTCAGAGACCATACAGCAAAACGGAAAAAACACAATAAAACAAGTAAATATCAAAGTCTTGCAAATGTTCCTGGAACAATTATTTGCCTTGTCATCATATTCATTCTGGCAAGTCAAAAAAATGACCTACAAAAACTCACAGAATTTGCAAAAAAATAAATAAAAGCACTGGCAGTCAACATGATCATGTCATATGAGATGTTATTTAACTTCTGTTGGTAAATTTTTTATTACTTAGATCTTTTCTTTTTTCATATTTTATAGTTGAATTATACTGATGCTTCATGCTGGTTCTCAATTATTCGATTACAAAAGAGTCTAAAATCCATGATCAATTGAAAATTGAGGTGCTGAGTGCAAGAAGAACGCTTCTCCGCTTAAGTACACTGTCAGGAAAGTGAATGAAAGCATGCCACTCATGAAGTTTTGACAGAATATTTTTCATGATTCTATAATATTCTACAGAAAAAATTCTGGAAAAATCACCCGATAGATTCTTCTCTGAGACATAAATTAGCGATGGAGATCCAAAAACACCAAAACTGAGAGGCGTCCTTCTAGCACCCTTTGCCTCAATTGAACTACAATTTGCTTTTTGGAACTACAATTAGAGCTCAGTTTTGAAATGAAGTATATACCATTAGTTTCCCTATGCACTTAAGTGTTTCAAGGAATGAGCCAAAAATTGTAATTACTAATTCGCAAAATGTAGTTCAATTGTTATCAAACTTCTTTCTTCTGCTAAAAAGTAATGTATAGTAAATGCTGAAAAAATTAATTCACTGAACATTCAGGAATCATAAAACAGATAATTACTTATGTTAAGTATAACTTAATGATGCCTAAGTAAACAGGCAAATCGATAATTGCAAAAAATGCAATCGAAAAAAGTCTTACTTCAAAATCATAACTACACAAGACAAAAATGCAAATCAAAAGGGAAGTTCATCTTCCTTTCCCTATAATTAATCTAAGGTATATAACATTTTTAATACTTTGAAAGGCACTTGAGAGAGTCACATTATTCAGTTTTTGAAGGACATTGACCTTAAGGAAAAACTCAGTGAACCATAAGACAGGATAGAGAATTAGACTTCCGCAAGACACATTTCCTCATAAATATTTCAAGCAGAACAAATTGGAGCATAGAACATAAAAGGGAGTAGAACATAAAAAAAATTACCAAAATTAACTCATATAGAGCCTCTTTGTGAGGTAATGATTGTATTTAGTCACAGTTTGATTGTTTTATAAATCACAGAGCTCATACACTTGTCTAGACTAATTCACTGCAAGGAAAAAAGTCTCTTTTCGTAAATAAGCTGATATTAATTTTTTGATTAATTTGACTCAAGTAAACTCTTTTTTTTTCCAGTGGGCAGGAAGTTTGAATTGATGTACATGGAGAACGCTTGTCTCTTACTTTTGGGTGGCATTAGGAAATGGTTCATGTTCCATCAAGTTCTTCATGAAATTTTGATAAAATAACATATTTTGCGGTGTTTAATTTCGTACTCAATCTAGGGGTCCATTATGAATGAAACAACTCGGTAAGGAGAGCAGAGGCGTCTTCCTGCTCGATCATTTCAGCACCATCATTGTCAGTCGTAAGGTCACAGAGAATTCCTGCAGCAGTGCGTTGTACATTTTCGATTTCAGCTCTCTGAAAAAAAAAAAGATCACAAAAACTTATATGACATGTTAAAAAGGGGACAAACATTAGATCCTCAAATTTAATTGTTAAACAAGGTGGAGAAATGGTGCTGGGTCCACACCATTTCGCGGGGAAATCAAAGCCAAGGAGTTCCAAAAATTGAAATTAGAGTCAAAATTTTTTGAGCTCTAATGCGCACCAGTACGAAACTAAAATTAATTCTAGATTTCTTTTAATTAATTTTAATTTTTGGAACTCCTTGGCTTTGATTTCCCCGCGAAATGGTGTGGACCCAGCACCATTTCTCCACCTTGTTAAATACAGTTTCGGGCCACTTCTTAGTGTTTTTTTTCTTCATTTAATTGTTAAACTTGACTAAGACGCAAATACCTTGGCTCATGAGGAGGGAATTTTGAACCAACTAATGATCTGTTCGACGAAAAGTTAGTTGCCTCCAGGTGCACACTTAAAGGACATTTCATAGTTTTAACTCTCATTAGTTGTCTATTGTCCTGAGAGTTTTGTAAGTTCTTGTCTCCCTAAGATGATTTCCAGCAATTTATCGCTGCAAAAAGTGGCGTTTACATACAGGCAAATATATTTGATTAAAATAAGAACTTACACTATAACGGTTATCTTCTAACGCACGGACGAGGAGCTGAGCCAACTGTTGCAGCGTTCCATGCTCTTTAAGGGCTGCATGGTTTGCTGGGCAGAGAGCTAAGTTGCGAATCAGTCCAACAACGGCTTTCACCAATGACCAACTAGAAGTTGGCTCCAACAACTTGACTATGACAGGTATACCATAGTTCATGCGGACAGCATTTTGGGCCAGCTCACAATCTGCATGGCGGCAGGTTAGATGCCGTAAAGCACAAATCTAGTGAAAAGAAAAGATTATCTGCTATAACAGCTCCATTGCAATTCTAATATCAAAAATCTAAATTTAAGGTGGGTCTTTAGTAGCGGAGATATGAAATGGGTTGACTTTCACAAACCACGGAGCAGTTTTTTTTTTTCAAAATATAGGTTATCAGGTTGATTAGTTAAAAGAAGTCTCCTGAAGAATACATGTTAACCTATGAGCACTTGATCTCTTCTATGAATAAAACTCTGCTCTAATCTTCATAGACTGGAGACGGCTTGACATTTATTTTTCCGAGATAACTTAATAGATATGTGTTGAACTTTGAATTTCATTAAGTTTGACAACTGAACTAAAGAAAACGACGAGAAAAAAAGGACAGAATTATTCAGGACTGTTGAAATGAGTAGTAAAATGAGTTAAAAATTAAAACTCAAGTAAGTTTTTCATATCAAAACCTACAGAGAACATGGTAAAGAACTGAAAAAGGTTTATCAATACTGATGAGCTTTGCCAAGTGATTACTTGCAAGTCAGTACAGGTGTATATTATTTCATACCGCAAGATTCTTAAAGCAAGATCAAAGAAATTGTTAACTAAAAATGCCCTAATAATAAAAAACGCACTTTTATCTTGTAAAAATTAAGCACTTTTTGGCTTATGTTACACCTCAACCGACTAAAAGAAAATTTCATAGAACAAACATTTGCAGCTGTGGCTGAGATTTGACACAATTTTTTAGCAGATCTTCCTCACAAACTCCGAAAAAAAAAAGCTTAGAAGCTACTGAAATTTCCACAGACTACAACTTAAGGGCTGCAGCAGCAAAAGATTACAAGGCTCAGCAGCCTCTTACATAAGTGGCAGCACCAACTAAGAATAGAAAATTGTATCAATTTACCGCTGGGTCAATGATATCTTCACAGTCCCCAGCATTCATGATTGTTTGGACTAGAGCCTCTACTCCTCCAACTTGACAAACAGTCATCTTATTGCGCTGATTGTTACAGGTAAGATTCGACAGGATCCCAGCGGCACAAGTAACAACATTGACATCATCGCTGTCGACGAGATGCACAAGGGATTGGAGAAGCCCGTGCAAGCCATCAACATTTGTGGCAGCATCTGACAGATTCCGTAGTGTCCACAGACAATCCTGGACCACCCTCATGCTGGGATGCCCGAGATGCATGGATAAAGCCTGCATGCCTCCAGCTTCCACAATTGCCGGTTTGTTGGTTGGACACACAGACAAAACTGAAACAAAGCCAGGGAAATTTATTTATTTATTTATCACATAATGGGCTAAAGCCCAAATAAAAGAGAACAATACATAAGATAGCACAAAAACAAAGCTTAAATGAAGACAAACAAGATAACAACAAGTAAGAGGTAAAGATAAAATAGAAAACAAAGTACTATATAATACATTTTCATAGTATTTCAGCACCTTCCCTTTTAAAAAATTTTTAAACTGAGAAAATACAAGAGAGGAGTTAGCGAGATGAGATGGTAACTTGTTCCAGGACCTATTTTCAGGAGGAAATCATTAGAAAATTTTAAACTTTGCAGAGATTTCTCTTCCGATAAATCAAGGTTGCCATAATTTTTTCATCTTCAAATTCCCTGACTTTTCCTGACTTGGACTCCAAAATATTCTAATTCCCTGACCTGGAACAAAATTTCCACCTTCTTTTTTTTCTCTTGAAATGCGCTGTTTTTCACTAAACTTCGGATAAAATTTCCTCATTTAAAGATCAAGTGTTGGATAAAGGCATTCAGTAGCAGGTTAACAGATGACAAGCCTTAAAAATGACAAGAAGGGTACGAAGTTGGAAGATCAGAATGTTTTCGTAATTAGTAGATGTTTCAGAAAATCCTTGGCATTCCCCAAGAATTCCCTGACTTTTCTTAGTAATCACAAATTCCCTTACTTTCAACGATTTTACCAGTTTTCCAGACTGCTGGCGACCGTGTAAGTACATTAAAATAGAAAAGAATTGGACTGAAAAAGAGGGAAAATTTTGGCATATTAATTGCTAGGCTAGTACAATCCAAATAATGGGATTTATCTTCTTCCAAGACCTGACAAAAATTCACTCACAGACGATGCGAAATTTAAAGTTATTTATTCTTATGATTTCTTACCTTTCAATACACGAGAGGTCATCCAAAGCAGCTTCTCATAGTCGTAACTTCTCATTATCCGAACCAACTCGATGGGTCCTCCTGAGGCAAAGATAATAAGCTTGCTTTCCTGATTCCCGCATGCTAGAATTTGCAAACAATTCGTGACTATGGCCAAAAACTTGACATTGTTCCGCTGTAGGAGCGCGACCATCTTCTGGATGCCACCCGCGAGTCGCACACCCATTTTTGATCCTTCTTGATGCAAAAGCAAGTTGTGAATGGTTGTGATGGCATAGAACAGCACACTTTCTACTGGAGCGCTGCAATAGTGGGAAATTCAATTACTAACACGTGGAGTGATGACTCACAAGATCCAATGAATGCAATATATTTTTTAAGTGAATTTTCCGAATGAAATACATTATTGTATTGATTTATTTCCCAGGAGTCCAAAGGGAACAAAGCTGCACATGTTATTCTGTTCCTCATTGAATCAAAATATCTTTCAGAATTTTTGAGAATTAAATCCTGTTTTGAACAGGAAAAAATCTTGCTCACTTCAGTGGCTGAAGTGACTCCTACCTAAGTACATATTCATCACCCTGCCTGAATGTACATCTGTGGGCTGATTGTTGAAATTGATAGACAAAGAAGACATACAGGATATGGAGGGATCCAATAAATGGGTTGCAATGGACAAAGGAGGTAGGTAACAGACTAACAGCAACCCACGAGGGACCCTAAAGTTAGTCTATCATTTTCTCCCTGAGTCTATGAGAGCCGCCCATTTTAACCAACAGGATCACTTTATACTCCATAAGTCTTCTTTGTTTCGTTTTGTCTATCAATTACAACAATCAGCTCGCTGATCTAGGCTTAGTGCAGATGCATTTAGAGGTTATGTGGTCTTACAACAGCGCAATTTTCAGGATTTTGTTTCCATCTCAAGTAGTAATCTTCACAGAATTGTGGAGTTCCTAGATATTCAAATACTGCGCAGAATACTCTTGAGTGATTGTTAATAAATATTATGAGAACTGAACCACTATTTTCAAGTAAAAGAAGACCAATGAGAGAGAAGAGGGTGATGAAAATAGCATCCAAAAAAGGAAATTAAAATTTCTAAATAAAAGAAAAGAAAAAAGAAACAATCTACAATGAGCATTCTCTTTTTATCCATGATTTATTGATGGATCAAGTGATCTCAACACTACGTATTTTGGAATGATGAGATGACTTTCTGTTGTGGACAAAAGGAGATGAATCAGAACTTACATTGCTTTGCTTACACCTTGTCTACAAGGGACGTTTCATGGGATTTGTCCAAAATTCAAATCGCAGGAATGAAATCCCTGGGCTTCTTTCCTGTTTAAAAATTTTTTCTTCTTCTCTCTAGGTTGCTCTTGGGAGCCCACAAGGACTCAGCTTGGTACTGTGATAAGTGTTGACTACATCAATATTTTTCCCAACTTTGCAAGTGAGATTTTTCCCAACTTTGCAAGTAAGATTTTTCCTTGGAACAAATCACATGAAACGTCCCATGGAGACAAGGCATTAAGGAAAAACTAACAAAGATTAATTGATATACAAACCTCAACAGTTTGACTAACACAGGGATTCCTCCACTCTTAAAAATGGCTGAGAGACCCTGGCGGTGTTGAGACAGATTGTGCAGAGCGCCAACTGCAACTTTGGTGGTTTCGTAATCATTTGAGTTAGATACAGCTCGGACAAGGGCTGTCACCATCTGAAAAGGGAAAATCGTGACATAATCTTAGTAAAGCACAAAAATTTGAACACTAAGATGATTATAAATAAATAGATAAAAGGAACTTTGAAACTGACAGAAAACTGTAGAGAGAATCTCAAATAAACTAACTCCCACATCCTGAATATACCTTTTCATGGTTTAAATATCTATTCCTAATCTGAATTTGAAAAAACGACAATGGGTATCTTCATCTGCAATATTTCAAGCTTCATGTCATACTCCATTTTTTTTTTTGGAAAACTGGTACATTATTTTTAGAAAACTTCTTAGATTTTCTTGCTCTATTGGCTGAATATATTATGTATAAATTTCAAACTATGATATAGTATATTTTAACTACGGTGCAATGATATGATATTTCAAACTTATGCATTAATTTCATACTAAACATTAGGGCTGTGCGAGCCTGGTTTTTTGGATTCGAGCCGAGTCGCCGCGACGTTTTTTGGAATCGCGCGATCATATTATTGTAGCCGCAGCACCTTTTTTCTGCCGCCGCGACACCTTCTATCTGGAGCGCAAAAGGTCCAAAACACATGCTCACTTTCAGTCTTCCAAGCGGCGGTCGCCGCCGCAGGTTGAAATTGGTCGCGCGCATAAATGCGCTCATATGACTCCGTGTATTTACAAACCGCGGGCGGCAGGAAATCGCCGGGCGGTAGCGTGTTGGCGCTGCGGATGATAGAAATTTGCCGACGAGACTCTGATGTTATTCAATCGTAAAATGATGGCAAAACTAACGTTAGTTGAAGTATGATTGAAATATTTGGAAGTTGGACTCTTTCGGCGTTTTTGGCTCAAAAAAACTCGAAATATACTCGAAAAAACTCGTGTTGTTGACACTCGAGCCGAGTTCGAGTACTCGCTCGAACCTAACCTAACTTTCGAGCCGAGTCGAGTACTCGTTACTCGGCTCGACTCGACTCGAAATTCGAGTACTCGCACAGCCCTACTAAACATATCATGGTTCCTTCTACCTTACATTCAACTGTCAAGGTTGCCACAGAATTTAGGAAATGATATTTCTTGGCATTTTCCTGCCACATTTAGGTAAAATTTTCTGATGATTGAAGATAATGCAGATGGTAAAAAAGACATCATATGAAATAGTTTTCATGCATAATCTATTGTTTGGAATGTCAAACTCATTCTAAAAAGCGGATAAGGTAGACAAAACAATTTTTCCCTGACATTTCCCGATTTTTCCTGACTTTAAAATTCCCTGAACTTTGCCTGTTTTCCCAGCATTCTCTGACTGTGGTAACCCTGCAAGCATCACCAGTAATCAGTGCATGAGTGCATCACTGATCGTTAAAGCTGTAAAGAAACCATTTTGCCCACTGCCGCTGTGGATGATATCAATCCAAGGTCGCCATAATTTCTTCATCTTCAAATTCTCTGACTTCCCCCAAGTATTTTTGCTTTTCCCCCACTCCAACATGTTTGAATTCCTTGACTTTCCGGACACTTGAATACAATTTCCACTTTAATTTTTCCCCTTTAAATTACACTCTCTTCTGCTAAACGCCGAACGCATTAAATTACTTGACTTTTTGTGCAAATTCTCTGACTTTTCCCAGTCCCCATAAATTCCCTGACTTTCCCAATTTTCCATACTGCTGGCAACCCTGCAATCATTAGGTTTACCTGAGGGCAAAATTTCAATTGGTATTGAGCGTAAAAAACTTGGCGTTTATTTGCTAATGTCTAATTTCATTTCGGAGAAATTCTATGTGATGAATAAATATTGAAAGCTGAAGCTACCTGAGGATTATTCATGACGGAATGTTTTGAAGCTTCTGACTTGGTTAGCTGGTGCACCATGATGGCTGCCTGAGAAACGACAACATGATCTTCATCATTCAAAAGCTTAGTCAGTTCAGGAATTGCATGGGTAGCTACGTCAGCGTCATCCTGAGGACAAAAAACAGCATAGCTTGGTGAGGATGATAATACAATTGGATATGCGGAAGAAACCAAATCAAATCACTACAAATATTCTTCTTTTTTCCTCCACTTTCAGAGACTGTATATTCTTTCTTTCAAAAATCTTGTTATTAATGTTCTATGGATGTCAATAGAGGTTTCAAAGCCATTTTCACAAGGAATGATAGGGATTGGTGAGACTCAGGATCATTTTCATGGGTTCCAATTTAACAAGATGAGCTTCTTTTTTGCTTTGTTTTATAATATTCTAGTTGAGTTAAAATTAGTCAAATTCTGTTAAATTTAATTTACCTGAATCAAAATAACTACATACATCAATTAGTGGAAAACTAATATGAAGATAGGTTATTTTTCTAGGATAACGAATCCTTGACAGCATGTCCTTATCTAATATGATATGATAGACAATTTTCAAGGACTTGCTGAAAAATTTAAACATTAGGCACCTTGGGAATGATTTCCTTTTCCTACAACTTAATTTTCTGTAACCTGAGTCAGAGGAAGCGTATATGAAAGATACATACAATATTAAATAATCTCAAATAATGGTTTTATAAAACCATATACCAATAAAAAAACTAATCAAAATATTTCTTTGTAATTTTGTGTAATTTTTCCGTACGAGTGAAGAAGTGTCATATCAAATTTCAGTAGAAACTATACATTGGTTATTCCTTTAAAAAAATAAAACATGAGTGTAGACTTACGACGATGTAATCGGAGATATGCACTTATCGACTTGAGTCATTGATACATATGATGTACATATCACATTATTTGATAGTCTAAATGTTTTCTTTGCGAAAAAAAGAGAAAACATTATGAATTTTTGGAGAGGTCATGGATTAAAGCAGATATTGTAAAATTCTAGGACTTTAAAGTATATTTCAGCATTGCAGTTAAATTGGTAAATAATCAAAGGGTAACAATTGGTAATAACGAATGTTCAAGAACTCAAAAACTTGAAAGAATTTGAGAACCTAAAATTGAGGACTTTGCGAGGCATCATACACCTGGAGAATTGTTTAGCTGGAGGGAAACTCTGTTACATCAAGTTCTCAGATGCTGCATTTTCATTAAAGGACATGAGATGAAAGTTCAAAAATATTTAGTGAACGAAACATAACATGCACTCTGACAAACTATACCTGATAACTGTTCATCAAGCTGTTCATTGCGTGCTTGAGCATTTGGGATGGTCCAACTGAGTGTTCAACTGGTGCTGGGCGCGTTTGATCCATTTGCGTGGAAGGAATCTGCATTCCTTCTTCCAAAGTTTCAGGGAACATGGCCCCTCTGACCTGCTGTCCGCCAGTTTGACTCAGCTGCTGTTTTACTTCTAAAAATTTCAATCGAATTAGTAAAAAAATGAAATCTTAATTATTGAGTAAAATCACAATGACTTAATTCCAGCTGATGATATTTCAATTGAAAAGAGTGGATTGACACATCATCACCTTCTGGCCAAAGTATCACAAGCATCATGCGATGTTTCAAAAGTTCCGCCACCATTTTATTTTTTAACAGAGAAATTGTTGGTTGAATCTGTTTGAAAATTTTCCTGAATTTTATCGGCAGCACAAAGAAAATTCAGTGAGATTTTCAGACAGCTTCATTGAACAATTTCTCTGTAAAAAAATAAAATAGTGGCGGAAATTTTGAAACGTCGCATGGCACTTGTGATACTTGGGCTGGAAGGTGACGACATATTCTTACATAAATTTTAGTTTAAAATGTTTCAAGTCTTAACAAGCAGATTCTTCCTTTCTTGAAAACTATGAATTGGACTTTATTTCACAATTAGGGACTAAAAATTCTGGCTTAATCGTAAAAACACCTAAGTACATAGAGAAACGAATGGTACGTACGTTGTTTCTAAACTAAGCCAGAAATAGTAGTTCCTAATTACAAAATGTAGTCCAGTTCATTTTGTGGAATATTTTCATCATTAAACCATGGAGAACCATTCATTTTTCACAAAGAGATTGAGTCCGGTATACTGCACTTATTAAAAGGCAAAATTGTGAAACATTTTCAAACAAAAAGTGCTTCTGGATCTCAGCAATTTTTGAAAATTGCATACCTTCATGCAATGAGAAACTAGAGGCCAAATTATCAATTTTTGGTGAATAATGGATTTTGTATTAGGGGAGCATTTACTAGAAACTGAGAAAAATAAAACTTCCAAAATACTTCTTGTCTCTTCATAATGACCTCGCAATAAGTAAATAGTTTTTGCACAATCGAACAACTTTCATTCTGCATTAGGGAACGACACGTAGACCCCTAATTGCTGAACTGATGATTCAAAATGTCCATCTTGTGATAGGATATGAGGGATGACTATATTAATTGGCCAGAAGGCATTACTCAAGCAATAATAATTACCATTGACTTGATCCTGAGTGAAGTCTTGGGTGAACCCAAGATCAAGATCAAACATAAGTTGATCATTGTCGACTCCTTCCTTTCCAGCTACGACGGATGGAGCCTGCGTTGCCGCTCCTGAGTGGATTCCCGAGTCTACCATGTAGGAATTTTGCGCCCACATTTGTGTGATAACCAGGGAAGTCAGCTCGGGAGTTTCCGTAGCGTCTCGGGCCAGAGCGAGAGATAACATCGCATCTGTCCTTTTTTACAGCTAGAAACACTTGTTTTCCCGGCGGAAGGGACAGTACGCTGATTCAGCATCCCCCACCGCTGGCCCGAGGCGCTCTGGAGGCAACGAAGCTCTCTGGCCGCGACGGAAAATTTAGATTGAAAGGAGCGTCCGTGAAAGTCGGAGCTGGTTTTGTAGGATTTGGTCGGTTACGTCGGATTACGTTGGTTGTTTCGTCTGCGTAGGACTTAGTTGATTTTTTGGGTTTCACTATCGCCTTCAACGGTTAGTTTCGCCCCTCCTTTATTGGTCGTTATTTTTCCTATCTTTTTTTATTCTTGACTTTACTAGTCTTCTCTTCCTTTTTTTATTTCTCCATTGTCAAGTTTTATGTAGCTCCTCCTGTATCTTTTGAATACAATATTCACTTAGTTTACTCACGTCAAGTCTCTTTCACTTTGTTCATTCTGACTCTTCCCATAGTTCCTTTTTTTTCTCTCTTTCCTTCTCTTTTGACTAAGAGCAAGAGGCACGGTCTGGCCGTTGTCTTGATTGGTCTGGCCAATCCGCTTTTAGTCCCTTACCTTTACTGCTCTCATCTATCCACCTTTTCCTTAGGGCAAGAGGCACGGTCTGGCCGTGTCTTGACTGGTCTGGCCAGTCAGCCCCAAGGGATTTTTCCATTCTTTCTCTCTTTGAAAGGAGAAAGAGGCACAGTCTGGCTGTTGTCTCGATTGGTCTGGCCAATCATCCCCTTTCAAAGGTTTCTCCTTCACGACTATCCACCTTTTCCTTAGGGCAAGAGGTACGGTCTGGCCGTATCTTGACTGGTCTGGCCAGTCAGCCCTAAGGGTAGTTTCCATTCTTTTCCCGAACAAACGCAAGAGGTACGGTCTGGCCATATCTTGACTGGTCTGGCGAGTCAGCGTTTGTTCATCATCTTTCCCTTCACTACCCCCTTTTTCCCCTAGATCCCCCTGTCCTCCAGAGGGGGATATTATCTTTTTTTTTTCTTTCTTTTCTTTTTTTTTTTGGTCGCCACATTTGCGTCTGCTCTTCCTTGGCTGATGTGGTTCTATATGTGTGGCTTTTATTTGCTGTTATTCTTTTGGAGCTATTTTGTTGACTTGAGGTGATCTATCACAGTGTAAGGTTGTGGTCCAACTGACATACTATACATTACAAAGATTAGATCAGATGTTGTAGATAATTTTTTAGACTCATTCTCAGAAGTAAGCATTTTGTTTTAGTTTGAAGTTAAAAAGCGTGCCAGATTTCGTACCTTAGACTTTTAAACATATATTTGTCAAGATTTATGAGACATCCCTTGTACTTTTATTGCTCTGATTAGAATAATTAATCTAACTTATGACATCATCAATGCTTCAAATAAGACATCGAAGGTATAGTTAACAAAACGCATCTTCAAAAACATTCAAGTGTTTCAGATGGTGAAAAACCATAATGACCAGCAAATATCTCTGAAAAAATCACTCGACTAAATTCTGGCTTCTGATTGAGTGTACATCATGCCTTGACAATGTAATTCGAGTCTCTTACAATTCTTATTCATGGTAGTTGCTTGACAAATGGGCCTGTTGCAAACTTTCGCTGAGTAGAGCAAAAATAAAAGTTTTTCCTATAAATAATGCCTCAAAAATCACGATGAGCGCATCGACAAAGTCTGAAATGCACTCATAACTTCACAATCTACGTAAGAAATCTGCGGTTTTCTTAGCTTCCCGCTTGGAAACAACTCCTCTGACGAAATGATTACCTGTGCTGTAAGTATCTTTTCTGAAGCAGGAAGCTTGAAAAAATGAAAATTTTTTGCGCAGATTGTGAAGTTATGAGTGCATTTCAGACTTTGCCGATGTGCTCACTGTGATTTTTGAGGCATTATCTTTAAGAAGCAACTCTTAGTTTTGCTCCAGAGAAAGTTTGCAACAGGCCCATTAATTTGAGTTTTCATAAAAATACTCTGAGTTTTTCATTGGATTTTCTGCCAAATTAAAATTTCATTGCTTTTCCCTAAAAGCCTTGATGAAAACTACAGGAGAAAACAGTAGTAACGAAACATTTTGGAGATTACCTTCTTGATTGAACTCATGATCTAAGTCGAACATGAGTTGGTCTGTGTCCATCTCTTTACCAGCAATGACCGAGGAGGCTTGAGTTGTTGTTCCTGAATGGATCCCAGATTCAACATTCAGGTAGGTGTTTTGCGCCCACATTAGGGTCTGCTCTTCTTTGACTGGGTCTCTACCAGCCTGATACACTAAAAATAAGTGGACAAAACGGTTAGTTAAGCTAAACACAAGGGTAAAATCTTTAACAGAGGTGAAAATGAGACACTTTTTGGAAAATGAAGCATTTGTAGAACATGTTTTCTTTAAAAATTATTTTTGCTCAATATTTTGGAAAAGAGGGGGAAATTACACATTTTCTTGGAAATCAGACATTTTGTCATAAAATTGGACAAACACCTTGAGGCAAAAACACAAAATTGTGGCAAACGGTAAGCGTTTTAGAACTTTATGTACTCTTCGTCTTTTAGAGGATAACGCAAGCATGTATACAGTACACATTTTTTAATACATAGCAGTCAGGAGGACATGCTAAAATAAATCAGTGTTTTTCTTACATTTTTAAGATCGTTGCTATCTTCTATCTCCCTTTTTTTTTAAAAAAAACATTTAAATAATCTAAAAAAAAAATTATCTGACTCATTTTATAAAAACGTACTAAAAGTTTTTAAAAGGATTGTATTCTTCATTACAGAAGTACATACGTAAGTACCTAGATAAGTTGGCTTATGAAATTATGTACCTACCCCTTTGAGGATCAGAGTTGGGATATTGATGTAACTTTAATGACTTGCAGTGCAAAAAAAAAGGTAAATAAATCAAATGAAAATAAAAGTACATGTAGATTACTGTCTGCCTCCTGTGGTGTAGTGATTGAAGCGCTTGCTCTATGATCCGGAGGTCCCAGGTTCGATCCCTGGCCAGATGGACCAAGTTTAATGGTTTCAAACATCGATTGTTTTGGGGCAGACTTGATTGCGGATGGAAGGGGGATGGGACTTTAGTGACGGTAAAGCGCAAGATTATCTCTCATGAGATATTTGAAGTGTAAAAAAAAACAACAAAAATTATCCAAAAAACTATCATGATAGATTATTGGGAAAGTTTTGAGAACTGTAATCTTTAAGAACGCCTTGGTGCTAATTCCATCAAAAATCAAGGGACCCTAAACTTCTCTGATGCTTGAAAACATAAGACTACTGCTAGAAGAAAAGGTGTCTGTGCTATTTCTGATCGATAGTAACAGTGAAAACCCAGGAAATTTTTCTGAAGAAACACCACAAAACAGCAAACTTAAATTTTAATAAGTAAGACTTGAGATTGAAAAAAATAAAACTTACTTGGCCGGTTCGGCCTGGGAATCTAGGGAATCTAGGAATCTAGGGTGGAAGGAGGAAAGACCGAATGTAGTGGAGGAAGGAAAGGAAAAGGAAAAAAAAATTTTTAGAAGTAAATATGTTGAGCAAAGTGATATTAAATAGATAAATATATAAATAAATAAATAAATAAAATAATTAAAAATAATTAATTAAATAATTGAATCTGATGGCATCTGAAGGCATGGGACAAACCCACAACATAAAAACTGAAGGTGAGATTGGCTTTCAGTTTTTATGGTGGCCGAAGAAAAGGAAAAGGAAAAGGAAAAAAAAATGTAACTTTGGCTTTTTGGGTTAGGGTTGGAGAATCGCTTTGTCGGATGAAATGTGCCCAGTGCTGGCTACGAGCCAGAGTTTTTAGGTTTCCTACAACGATAAGGAGGCATCTGCTGCGGGTTAAGGCGACGTTTAGTCTGCGGGGGTCTTTTAAGAAACCGAGTTGCATTTTTTGGCCGTTTGGGTGGGGGGACCGTACCGTGCTTAGGAGGATTATTAGGCGCTCCGAGCCCTGGAATTCATCTATTGTGGCTATCTTTATGTTGGGCCACTGGCGGAGGTATGCTTGTAGTAGATTTACTTGGTTGCGGTAAAGGGTGGCGATACCTATGTCGTGCTGCGTTACTAAGTGTCCGTTGAAATGGGAATTTATTATGCCGCGCACGTAGTCTAGTATTATTTGAGCTTCATAAGGGTTGCTGAAACCGTAATGGTCCTTCGATTCGACCTCGGGTTCGTCGTGGGGGTGGATTATGATAGGGATGTGTTTATTTGGCAATTTTTGCCAACCGCAGGCAAGGTTTATGATGTTTGGAGGACCGTGAGCCCGGAGTTCATTGTTGTAAAAAAGTTGGTTGGGGGTGATCAAAATTGAGGGGTGGGATCTGAAATTTCTGATTAATTTTGTAATCATTTAGGGGTTATATTTTTTTGTAATAGGATGTGGTTGGTATGCTGGTAATTTTGTTAAACGTTCTAACAGAGAAATGCCGTAGCCGAGGCGTGAGGCGAGTGCGGATGTTGCGATTGGTCCAAGTTGGGCGGGGTCACCTGCGAGAATGAATTTGGGCTTATCTTTCGCTTGCGATAGTCCCGCAATGGGGATGAGGGAGTCTTGTTCCGTGGCTTGTCCGCATTCATCGATGAATACGTGGGTGAAGTGGCTCGTCAGACCGAAACCTGCTGTAATTAGTTTTCCGGTGCCTGTGAGGGTTGTAGCAATGATTTTATGATTTCTTATTGTTTCGCGCGGGGGTTGTTTGATGTGTCCGTTCCTGTCCAAAAACACGCACGGCTTGATCTCTTCTTTGATGTCCTTCGTGTCCTTAGAGGTAGGGTAGACTCTTAGGATGTCTGTTGGTGGAATGTTTTTCAAGAGTGCGTAAACTAGAGAGTCAACGGCGGCGTTTGAGGGTGAGCAAATGAGGATTTTGGTCGTGTCATTTTTTGCCCAAATTTGAGTCGCCGCCTCGACGAGGGTGCTACTTTTTCCTGTTCCTGGTGGGCCCCATATTAAATATGGTGCCGCATTAGGGTGTAGGTGCAAAATTTTTGTAATTGCGTCGGATTGCTCTGGGTTATTTGCCACGTTCTGGTTGTACCATTTTGTGACGGCAGGGTGGTCTGAATGAGGTTCTTGTGGGCGTGGTGCGGGAAAAAGGAAATTTGTGATGGCCCTGTTTGTTTGGCTTATGGCCCGGTGTGCGGCCTGGAACGGGTATCTGTTTAGGCGCTTCCTGATGTTTACAGTATCTTGCGGGTTGTAGTACATGAAAAAGTCTGGGCTAATCGCTATCTCCGCTTGGCGTCCTCTCACACTTTTTACTGAGCCAGGGCACGAAGTTTCAGGGTCGTCTGTGAGTGTTACTGCTATTTTATCCCCGGTTGTCAGGCTGAGGTTGCCGTTTCCTGCGCTGAGGTCCACTGCCATGTAAGTGGAGAGGGGTTGGAGTAGTACATTTTTTAGTTCATCCTTATGTGTGTTTTTCTTGCATTGGACTTCTTCAATTTGCAAGAGAAATGTTAATTTTTCTTTATATATGGAGGGCGTTAGTCCGAGTGGGTTTTTTTTTTATTTGCTCTAAGTGTTTCATATAGCATTGTGCCTCTTCTACGTCACTCGGGTCAAGGTTAGTCATGTCTTGGAGTTTAAAATTGTGATTTATGAGTGAATAGAGCACAGGCTGGATGGAATATGATCCGAGAGCTATTTTACTGCATTGATCAGCGTTTGTGAGTGAGCAGACTAGTGCATTTCTCGGCTTGGTTTTTATTTCCCTCATGTTCCAAGCTTCGCTCCTAGACCAGGCTGAAATGAAAATTTTTTGCGCAGATTGTGAAGTTATGAGTGCATTTCAGACTTTGCCGATGTGCTCACTGTGATTTTTGAGGCATTATCTTTAAGAGGCAACTCTTAGTTTTGCTCCAGAGAAAGTTTGCAACAGGCCCATTAATTTGAGTTTTCATAAAAATACTCTGAGTTTTTCATTGGATTTTCTGCCAAATTAAAATTTCATTGCTTTTCCCTAAAAGCCTTGATGAAAACTACAGGAGAAAACAGTAGTAACGAAACATTTTGGAGATTACCTTCTTGATTGAACTCATGATCTAAGTCGAACATGAGTTGGTCTGTGTCCATCTCTTTACCAGCAATGACCGAGGAGGCTTGAGTTGTTGTTCCTGAATGGATCCCAGATTCAACATTCAGGTAGGTGTTTTGCGCCCACATTAGGGTCTGCTCTTCTTTGACTGGGTCTCTACCAGCCTGATACACTAAAAATAAGTGGACAAAACGGTTAGTTAAGCTAAACACAAGGGTAAAATCTTTAACAGAGGTGAAAATGAGACACTTTTTGGAAAATGAAGCATTTGTAGAACATGTTTTCTTTAAAAATTATTTTTGCTCAATATTTTGGAAAAGAGGGGGAAATTACACATTTTCTTGGAAATCAGACATTTTGTCATAAAATTGGACAAACACCTTGAGGCAAAAACACAAAATTGTGGCAAACGGTAAGCGTTTTAGAACTTTATGTACTCTTCGTCTTTTAGAGGATAACGCAAGCATGTATACAGTACACATTTTTTAATACATAGCAGTCAGGAGGACATGCTAAAATAAATCAGTGTTTTTCTTACATTTTTAAGATCGTTGCTATCTTCTATCTCCCTTTTTTTTTAAAAAAAACATTTAAATAATCTAAAAAAAAAATTATCTGACTCATTTTATAAAAACGTACTAAAAGTTTTTAAAAGGATTGTATTCTTCATTACAGAAGTACATACGTAAGTACCTAGATAAGTTGGCTTATGAAATTATGTACCTACCCCTTTGAGGATCAGAGTTGGGATATTGATGTAACTTTAATGACTTGCAGTGCAAAAAAAAAGGTAAATAAATCAAATGAAAATAAAAGTACATGTAGATTACTGTCTGCCTCCTGTGGTGTAGTGATTGAAGCGCTTGCTCTATGATCCGGAGGTCCCAGGTTCGATCCCTGGCCAGATGGACCAAGTTTAATGGTTTCAAACATCGATTGTTTTGGGGCAGACTTGATTGCGGATGGAAGGGGGATGGGACTTTAGTGACGGTAAAGCGCAAGATTATCTCTCATGAGATATTTGAAGTGTAAAAAAAAACAACAAAAATTATCCAAAAAACTATCATGATAGATTATTGGGAAAGTTTTGAGAACTGTAATCTTTAAGAACGCCTTGGTGCTAATTCCATCAAAAATCAAGGGACCCTAAACTTCTCTGATGCTTGAAAACATAAGACTACTGCTAGAAGAAAAGGTGTCTGTGCTATTTCTGATCGATAGTAACAGTGAAAACCCAGGAAATTTTTCTGAAGAAACACCACAAAACAGCAAACTTAAATTTTAATAAGTAAGACTTGAGATTGAAAAAAATAAAACTTACTTGGCCGGTTCGGC